ACCAGGATGGTCTCGATCTCTTGACCTCGTGATCCACCCACCTCGGCCTCCCAAAGTGCTGGGATTACAGGCTTGAGCCACCGCGCCCGGCCGCATTGAAACATTCTTAATCCTGTGCTCATGACACTCTGACAGATGTTACCATGTGAACTGTCAAAAATGGGAACCACTCCACATAATCCAGGGCCATCCAGGTAAGATGTCACAATAAACTTAAAACAAACAAACAAAACCCCAGGACCTAATTCAAGATATTAGAACTGGTGGAACCACCCATGTTTCAGACGTAAGAGAGGGAGGAAGAGAGAAAAAGTATCTCAGGACATCGCTTTTCTTTATATGGAGGTACTAAAACCATCAACAAGATAACTGCAGTAGGGGAAAGGTAGAAAACACTCTACTCACCTGTGCAGGGTTCATTTCTGCCATTGCCAGGAGGTCCTGAGGGAAGAGAGACACCATGAGAAATGGGTAACCATGGGAAGATCCTACAGACAAAGCTGGACCACCATCTCTTCTTCCTTACTCTAAAGCAAACTGATGTCAAGTTGACTGTATCAACTTAGCTCCTCAGACTTCAGTGTTGCGTCTTAGCAGCACTGTGGCACTAGAAAAGAACTGAACTTGCTGGAGCTTCAGTGTTCTCATCTATAAATAGGTCTGATATTATAAGAATGACTCCCACCTCATAGGACTGCTACTGGTGTCAAACACTAGTAGATCATAATATATCAGGTATTACTGTTCTTGCATTAATGGTTTACGATGTTTTCAGTGTAAATGATGTAGCAGAATTTCAACAACTGGGGTGTACATTTTTATCTTTTAAAATTTTAGAGGATGTGATACTAAAATTTTCCATGGTATGTTAATTATAGGCAAATTTGGGTCAAACCAATTATGAAGTGTTTACAGGAATTTAACTCAATGAATTGCTTAACTTCTAACTGCCTACCTCTATGTACCCATTTAGAAGGACACCGGTTAGTGTTTATACCAGTAAGTGTTTACATATATATATATAT